AACACAGCAGTGCTTCTTCAAAGATGATCATGGGTGTTCACCCCTTGTATCAGCTGCAGAGTCTTCTGCACATCCATCACATCATTCTCCTCTAGCCATCAGTATGTCTTTCTTCAGGAAAGTCTTCTAAGAAGCCAAAAGAGCAGGTCTGCTTTGTGTGTACCTCTAGTGGTCAAGAGGAAAGACATACAAAGAAAACACTGCGTGCTTGCATGGATGAATAGAAAATAAAGATTTGGTGGAAAGATATGTCTTTGGAAAGTCCACTTTATAGCTTTATAACTGTGTGAAAAAGTCAAAAGTGCTTCAGCTTGCTGTCCTGTTTTCAGATGTTACATGCTATACTACAATGAATAAATGATACTTGCTATTTGGTGCTCCATGGCTTCTGGATCCCTTTCCCCACCCACGACGTGGGGGAGCCCAGCTCTAGTTCCTTCTCCATCTGAAGAACCATTCCGACGTCTTGAGGGACGGGGAAAGGGGACTCCAGCGACAGGGTTTTTCAGGCCCCGAGCCTGGAGGGGAGAGGTGCCCTCCCCTCCCCCCAGCACCCACGTGGCTCCATGGCAGGCACAGAGACAGCACACCGGCGTGGAGAGGAGGCAAGAGAGAGTTTATTGTTGGGAAGGGGTTTATAAGGCTTTTAGGAGGGTCAAAGGGGAACCAATCACAAGTTCAGGGTCACACAAAAGAAACCATCAGGTAAGGGGTCAACAGCCAATAGGAAGGGGTTAAACAAAGGACCAATGGGACGCCTCAGGACACCTTTCCCAGGACATTCCTGCATGGGAGATAACAGTTGCTGTGGGGGGTGTTGGGAAGAAGAAACACGTGTTTGCAAAGAGACCACAAAGAGCCATCCTAAGACATGTTCAAACAAGTTTCTCATCAGACTTAGTGCTACAATGGCTCTTGATTATTTGCAGCTGATTATGTAGAAAGTCTAGGCAGTTTCCTTAATTTTTGTCATAGAAAGCTGTTGAAAGCTGGGGACAAGATGTGCATCAGGACTATCCACATGGTGACAATGAGAAGAGTGTTCTACATTCTTCCATGAAAGCCTTTACCCAGACTCAAGGAGCTTGGACAAAGCTCCTTATTGCTTGGTGTTACTTAATACTTCCCCAGCCTGCCCTGATCGTTTCAAAATTATCTGCTGTGGCCACATTAATAAAGCAGCTCCTGGCCTGCTAATGTGCTTTTCAATTCTGCTTTTGGGGTGTGAGCTCTGTCCCTGAATGAAGTGAGCAGCTCTACTGCCTGAATAATCACTTCCTTAAATTAATATGGGCTGCAGCCACGTCCATCTGTGCTGTGATTTCCCTCCCATGCTTGAAAGAGGCCTGTACCTCCTAAGTAATTATTTACATTCCACCTATTGCATTCTCCATTGCAGACAACAGTCTTTACTCATTTCTCATCTCAATTTACACCTCGTTGTTTTCTGTGTTAAAAAACATACTGCATGAGGGGTGAAAGCCTGTGGTAACCTCCATCCTGCAGCATGAGGTACTTGCTGCCTTTAACAGGGAATAGTTGTAATTTACAGGAAGATCTTGGATGAGAAAATAGAGATTATGATTTTTACAAGCTTTCATTTTTGTTCCAGCGGGGTTGGTGTTAGTCACTTTTCTTAAATAGTTCTTTTTATATTATTAATAATAATATCTTAGCCTTGCTGTCAATGGGAGAAGGGTGAATGGGAAATTCTGACTGAAGACATTTCATAAACTTCTTCATTTTCACAAACCAGGTACCGTATTTATCCAGAGCAGTGAGGGGATATGAAGCCAATGCAAAATCCCACTGGGACATGCCTGGCCCCCTGTGAAACAGTGGGTACAGTCTGGTGGGAGGCTCCCTCTGTGCCTGGCCAGGCTGGAGGCTGCTCAGGGGCAGGGGCTGAGTTGGGGGGTGCTGGTGCTCCTGGTTGTAACAAGATCTTTCACATTAGGTAAGGTTTGGGGTGAGTTATGGGTAAATCCTGCTTGTATCAGTGAGTCTGTGCTGGAGCTGGGACCAGGAAGAAATTTTCCTTTAGGCAAAGCCTGGCAGGGTCTGGAAGCTTCTTTTTTTCTTACTTTCCTCTGATACACAGGCCTTGGCTCCCTGCAAATGTCTCAGCAAATGTCTTCCCGGTATTGTAGGGACATGCAAAATCATGGAGTTTGTGGGTCCTCCTCTTTTGCTGATGGACATCATTAGCATTGCTCTTGTATGCAAAGATGAGCCTGAAATGTGCAGTGCAGTTTTGGGAAGCACTTTTTGACATGGGTGGGTAGAGTCTGAGAAGGCAGGTGTCTTGTCTGGAGTGAATCCTGCACTGGAGGGTGCAGGAAATGGGGTTTAAGGTCCCAAATGGTCTGTTTAAATCCTGTGTTCTTGAATATCAGCGGTCTGGGGTCTCTGCTAGATTCCCCACCAACTGAGCCTGGATGAGATGGCAGGCCATGACCGTGGGACTTCCCCATCTTGCCCTATGAAGAAGAGGTTACAAGTCTTGTGGAAGTGTAAGAAACAAAAGAAAGGAGAGAGGGAGGCATAACAAAGAAATGGAGGATGGAGATGACTCAGAAGAGGCACAAGGCTTCCAAGTGGAGCTGTTACTTTTTTTGCCTTCTTTTTCTGATGGTCCCCTGGTTGGTAAGTAACAAACATGTCTCCTAGAAGAAAGATATGGGCTGACTGCAATAACAATCCTGGATGCTCTGGATACTAAGCAGTTGGAAACAAAGAAAATTCTGTAAAATTCATCAGCATGAATTATCCAAATCCCAGTGAATTCTGGGAACAATAGTCTGAGCCTCGGAATATGCTGGTAGATTAGCTACCCACATGGTCGCAAGATTATTTCAGGAATTATCTCTTTGGAAAAAAAACAAAAAAAAAAAAGAGAAGGCATTGCTGGCAACTGGTACAGCAACATCCCAGCAAAGGCAGACAGCATCCCCTCCTCCCACAGCAGTGAGACCCCATCTTTCCCTGCCACTTTCTTTTTCATAAAATAAGAGAGTTGCCTGCGTCTAGCAGTGCCCCCCAAAATGACTGACCAACTTTCCAGGACTGCTGGGCAGAGCAGGCACAAGCCAGGGTGTGTTTGCCCAGACAAAGCCCCTCTGGCGTGGCCTGGCCTCACTGGCAAGCTCTTGGTGGAGGGAAGCAGGAGTGCACAAGGGAGAACACATCCCGTTGGCAGTGGTTTCACCAGCAAGCCTGCACAGCTTTTGCCTACATGATATTTTGGCATGAGGAAATGGTATTATTAGTCTGTCACTTTTACAAGCATTGAAATATATGGAGGAGCACAGATGTTAAAAAACCAAACAAACAAATACCCAAAGTTGAAAAAGAAATAAACCACCTAAAAAGGAAGTCTTGGAGCCAAACCAGCTCCTCACTAGCTACTGCAAAGACCAGTTTCCATGGCAGTGGCCAGGGACACTCACTAACCAGCGGTTGGAGGTGTCCTGTCCCATACATGGTCCACTACCAGTCCCTTTTGTCTCTATAGCAAATGCAATGCATTTCTCCATCCAAGCTGAGGAGGGACATCGCCTCACTCCATCCCTAGTGAGGTGCAACCCAGGAAGACAGGAAACCACAGCAAAGTTTTGCTGGTGGCAGTGAACTCAGACTCAAGGCTGAGCCAGAGGAAAAGGCAGGCTGGGCAGATGGTGAGGATGTCCCCTGGGCCACCGTGCACGGGATCTCCATCAGTTGGGTGGGAGGTGGGCCAGGGAAGCAGCCTGCACGGACATAGGGCAGCTGCGTGGTGCCATCCATGTGGCTTGCACCTCCGTGGAGGGAGCCTTTCCCTCTGGCACTGAAACCAATCCAGGAGGGAGCCCCTGGACTGTGCCAGTTTTGCACTTCAAAAATGCTGGCAGGTAGGCTCTCCTTTCCGATTACATCATGTCACTAACGCTCACCCCGGCTGTCTCTGGGCATTGGGCAGGGTCCAGTAGCAGCATGGTGGATGCTTTAAACCGTGGTAGATTTGTTCCCATCTCCTGATGCTCTGGCCCCTCTGTCAGCTCTGCTTTGTTAAAAATGTATGTTTATATGAATTATTTGACTTGCCAGTGTTTTGTGTTCAGCTGCTCATTCTCCTTGTGGTCCCCACTGGATTTGCCCCTCTTCCTGGGATGAAGGGCCTGGGCACACACTCTCAGGGCATTAAAGCCCTCTCCCAGGGACTTGCACTCCCCAGGGACTCACACACTGCCCCCCCAGAGCTGCTGGACCTACCCCTGTCCCTGTGTGTGCATGTGTATGATGTTAAAAATAGCAGTGGAGGTTTAAGTAAAAATCTCACTTTTCCCCAGCAGTGGGTACAGCAGAGGCAGAGCTGTGCCTGGGACAGGGACAGCAGCCGGGGCCAAGGGCAGGAGCTGGGACTGAGGCAGAGGAGCAGGGGTAGAAGGACAAGGGATGGGGCAGGTGTACAGGGGCCAGGACAGAGGGATAAGGACATGGACAAGTCAAAAAGACATGGGAGGGATCACAGAGACAGAGGGATGAGGCAGAGGGATGGATAGAGGGATAGAAGCTGAGGACAAGGACATGGACAGGGCAAAAGGACAAGGGATGGAGGAGAGGGACAGAAGAATGGGACAAAAGAATGGATAGAGGGATAGAAGCAGAGAGACAGGGATATGGGAACAAGGAGGGAGCAGGGGCAGGGACTCAGGTGTCCGGGTGTGGAGCAGGGACAGGGACAGGAGGAGGGACAAGGGGCAGGTAGAGGAACCGAGGCAAGGGCAGTGGTAGGGGCTGGGATTCGGGAGCAGAGACAGGGGCAGAAGCTGGGGCGTGGACGCAGGGGCAGGGCAGGGGCAGGGACCCCGCGGCAGACAAAGGGCGGGCAGCAGAGCCCAGCTAGCAGCCCCCGTGCCCGCAGCGGCAGCACCGCACACCGGCGCGCAGAGCGAGGAGCAGGAGGAGCGGGCGGCGGCGGCGGAGGAGGCGGAGGAGGGGAGGGACCTTTCCCTCCCTCCCACCCCGACACCGGGGGAAATAAATTATTCCCAGCCCTCGCACTCCCAGCTCCGTGCCCCACACCCCGGCAGCGGCAGGCGGGGACGGCGCAAGCCTTCGTCGGGCGCGGAGGGGCCGCCCCTGCCCGATCCGCTCCGCGCTCCGAGCCCCGCGCCCGCCTCCCCTCGAAGTCCCGCGGGCCGCGGCGGGGGGCAGCGCCCGCCCCGTCCCGTCCGTCCCGCCCCGTCCCGCGCGGCGCGGAGCGGAGCGAAGCGCCGGCCCCGCCGTGCCCTGGATGCCCCAGCGGCGCCGGCGGCAGCAGCATGGAGCGGCGGCGGGGCGTCCCCGGGGGCTGGCCCTGCCTGCTGGCCGCCCTGGGTGCCCTGCTGGCGGCGGGCCGGGCGGCTGCCCCCCGTGCCCGCTTCTCGCCCTTCTTCTTCCTCTGCACCCACCACGGCGAGCTGGAGGGCGACGGCGAGCAGGGCGAGGTGCTCATCGCCCTCCACATCGCGGGCAACCCCGCCGCCTACGTGCCCGGCCAGGAGTACCAGGGTAGGTGGTGGCGCCCGCCGTGCTCGGCGCTGCTCGTCTCCTGGGCGGCCCCGGAGTGTCCGGCGGGAAGGAGAGTGGTGGGGGGAAAGCGGGCGCTCTGGAGGGGGAACCCCGGGATCGTGTGCCGTGCCCCAGGTCAGCCCCGGCGGGAGGCTCGGAGGGGCACCCTTGCCGTGCGGGACCGTCTCCACCAGCCCCGGGCGCGGGGACCGCCGCCCGCGCCCCTGTCCCAGCGCCGCCTCGGCGTGGCTCCAGCCAGGCGCAGCCCGGAGCCAGAGGAAATTGCGAGTCCCCTCTCCTCAACTGGCCCCGAGCCTGACCCAGAGCCTCCCAAGTTGCCGGCAATCTGTCCCTTTCTCACTCCAGCGGCTTTCGGAGCCGGCTTGCACTGAGCGCATCACCCTCTCCTCGGGGGTTCTGAGGTGCCGCAGCTGGCGGTGCCATCAGGTCACCGCGATGTGTCACTGCGGGGACCGGCCCGGCGCGGCCGGGGTAGCCAGCCAGCCTGTTGCTCCCCTTGAAGGAGCCACGGGCGAGGGCTGGGGGTCAGGCAGTCGCAGGTGGCTTTGGAGATGGAAGGTCGTGCCCAGAATTAATAAATTAACGTCCTTTCTGTAAGCGCCCAGGCGGAGGAGAATGAACAAGAGTAGGCAAAGTTGTTCACAAAGTAGAGTCTCTACTTTGGCGATGTACTGGGTGACGGACACAGCCCAGGGCAGGTACACTGTTGTGGGAACCTGCTTTCGGCTGCAGAGTGCCCCTGGAAACCAACAACTGTGCTGTTCCACAGCCTCATCACCATTGCTCTGTGTAGAAAACTTCCATGTGGGAAACATTTTTTAATTCCTAATGGTGAGAGACCATTTAAAGGTCTAATCCTTCTCTCTTTGTGTCTGCTTGGGGTTTGCAATGCTACAGAATAATAACAGCTAATTCTGCAATAGGCAATTGAAAGTCAGAGAAAATGTCAGTAAATGTTTATTTAAAATGCTTTGTTCAGAAACAGATACTGTGTGATGGTCCTTGGCTAAAGATAAAGTTAAACTTTTGACTTCGATATATTCCAGTTCAGAATTTAAGTTTCAGGCAAATCATTGAATAACTGAGTTATGTGAAGATTCTGATTGAAATTTTTACTGTAAAGACATAAACCCCAAACATATCAAATATTCATTTTCACGCAGTCTAAGGGGTCCTGAAGTTTTTGCCTACGTATAAGCTTTAACAATATAGTTTTACCAAATTCATAGGAAACTTTTGCTTTTAAAATATTGTTGTCCTTTTAACAACCCATTACATGACCTCACCAGAAAAATTTTTTCCACAGGCTCCCAGATATTACAGCCTGTAATACACACTCCAGTTAAGTAAATTGCATTCAACCTGCTAAACCACAAATGCGCTGAGGGAAAAAAGAAGCTGGGATTTCCGTATTTTAAATGCTGGATTTTTGAAATTATGGTTCAGCCACGTAAATAACCGAATCATTCCCTGTCATCGCTGCTGCCGTGTTTTCCAGCCTGCAGCCGATGTTTAAACTCCCGTTGCTGGTCTAGGGAGAGAGGTTTGTGGCGGGACCATTGCGGGCAGAACGACGGGCAGGGCTGTCCGTCTGTCCTGCAGGATGAGGAGCAGGGACAGAGGTTGTTTCTCCGGGGATGCTCTTCTGCCTCTCGCTCTTTTAAAAGGGTTTTTGACTCTTGAAGTACCAGCTTGCGGAGCGGCGCCCCAGCTGCGCGCCAGACCTTTCAGGTGGCCAGGGGTGGATTTTTCGCCGCTGTTTTTGCATCTGAGAGAGCAAAACGCGGCGTCTTTGAATTTACCTCTGTGCCTGGCGGGATTTTTCCCTGTCCGCTCTCAGATTCTGCGGAGCCGCTGCTGCCCCGCGCCTCTCCCCGGCCCTGCGCGCCTCGCCCAGCGCGCTCCGTGCGCTGCTGCCGCGGCATCTCCCCGGGGACACCCTGAACCCCGCTGCCCCTCCGAAACTGGCACCGCGGTTACGCCTTTCCGTCTGAAGCGGGCACTGCTGCCCCAAGCACCATCCAGAGGCCAACATCTGCCCGGGGGTGCAACCCAAGCGTTTCAGGGTATCTTTTAAAGCCACCGTGTTAAGAAAGTGTAAAGAAATTGCACGCGTTCAAAGGATGAACACAGAAGAAAGTCCACAAGACGAACCTGGAAACTAATTTGTTTACACAGTGCAAGGTGTAGGTACACCTCGGTGTAGGCCAGCCTCCTGACTGATACCAAACAAATTTCTTTTCAGATTTGTGCATTGATTAAACATCTACCCATACCAAATGATTTCAAGGCAAGAAGCACTGCCTATTTGCTATGCACAGTGCAGCAGACATATCCGTGAGCTAAGCACACTTAATCAGTTAGATATTTTGAAATATCTCATTTGAATATTTTTAAATGTAACAATTATCAGTGTTAAATATAGCACGAGGAAAAAACCCTCAGAGTATACAATCTGAAGAAATAATTTGAAGCAACATGGAATTTTATATAGTGCAGTTAAAAAATGCTGGAAAATGCCAGTCTGCACTGGTTGAGCATTTTTCATTCAGAAATCAAACTTTAAAGGTGGTCTTCTGGGCACAAAGAGCAGGAGTTTTGAGATGCTGCACAGAAGCACAGGACAAAGGGAGATTTACATATGTACAATGCAAATTCAACTGCTCAGAGATCATATTAAAATACACTTTGTATTTGTGTGGTCCAAATCTTTGCAAGTTACAGTGAGGCCCTTTTTTACACTTACTGCCCCTTCATTCAACAGGGACAGGTGACAATAGCATCCAAGAGCATCAGGTTCAAAGAGGAGTGAAATGGATGAAACCACGTGTCAAGCGCTGGATGAGAAAAAATTCTGATTAAAAAAAAAATCGGCCAATGACTTTCTGCTAATTTGTTTAGACATTTCCTTGGGCTCTTGGAGGGGTTGTCAAACCACTGTGCATTCAGTGGGGCTGTAACAGGGCCTCTCAGACCTTTGCCCAACTGTCCGTGGCACTGCCCCAGCACGACGGGAGAGGAACAGCATGTGTTGCAGAAGACACTCTCCTGGGAACTGGGCAAGCACAAGAGCTTCTGCAAGTGGCTTCTCTGACACCCTGAGTCTGGCACTTTATTTTCCCGTGCCTTTGAATTTCATAAGTAAAACAAAGGCAATAATATTCCTTACTTTACATAGTTAAATTAGATACTTTGGGATTTAGCACTTCTCCCCTAATCCTTAAAAATAGTCCAGACTTGGCCCTATTCCTGAAATCAGTAAATATTTAATCACTGATTGAATAGGACCAGACCTACGCTGCCTATAAGTATGCTCTTTTATACAGAGGACTGACTTGATACATCAGTAAACAATTTTATTACCTTTGGTAGACTTTTATTCCTCGAATTAGCTTATATTAAATGTAACTAAGTCCTTGAGCAAAGCACTTATGCACCTGCTCAAATGCAAACTGACAAAGTGTGCACTGGTTTGATGTGGGCACCTGCTCAGTTTTCTTCCACCTGAGCAGTGGTTGCGTGTTCAGAGAGCTGCATCACGGCCCGCTTGGCTTGATCGTGGCTTTGCTGGTAGACAGCAAGGATCCTGTTTTGGTTTTTTCTCCTGGGATTTCCCCTGTAATATACAGAGCAGAATACAATTTCTTAAAAAAAAAAAAAATCAAGCCAACAACAGGATAAATTGAAAATTTTTATACAACTTCATTCGGGTTTATTTGCAATCTGCGGTCAATTTTTGATTATCCATGTCAATGTGCCTTCAGTGCTGAGAGCACGTACCATGATTTATGGGCAGATAAGTACATTGGAGCTGCATAAAGAAATAAGGATAAACTTGACTGAACATTGAGTCTTTACTGACCTTAATCACAGAAAGCTCAAAATGAACAGTCTGATTTGTAGTGTTTAAAAAATACAAACGGATTATCTTTACACTGTATTTTGTCTTATCCCTTAAGATTTTTTTTGCTGTCACTGCAAAGAGTTCCTTTTTCCCAAGGTTTCAAATTTAGATCTTTTAGGAACAACTTTGAACTGTTTTCCCATGATTGATGTTAAAACTCATCATTCTGTCCTTAAAATAGTTTTAGTTAATGAGACTTGAGTTTCTATTTCACTCTCCATTGTTCCCTTTTTTTTTCCAGAACGGATTAACCTTCAGTCCCCAAATGTTATCAGTTTCCATCAATGACTGCTACTATTCTTAGATATACTGTATATTGTCTGGAACCATTGCCATGATAGGTTGTAAAAAAACAGTTTTCAACTATTTTAAGTGGTAGTTATGCACTCTTTCAGCACTGATAAAAAGTTGTTTAAAGTCTGTCCAATTCCACCTTCATTCTTAACTGCTGTATTTAAGAAATACAGATTGTGACTTAGGATCTATTTTCATTAGGGTTACTTACATTTCTGGTGGGTATTTTCATTGTAAATTCTTATTCTTCAGATTATTAGGAAATAAAAACATGTTTGAGTTTGAAGTGAGGGAAGAAAGAATAGCTGGAATGTAAGTAGTGATGCTGCTTGAGGTATAAACAGGATTATAACTGAGTGGCAGAAACTCAGTTATTGATACTTTCTCTATCAGTTATGCTGAAGTATAGGAAGCTTTTAGTGAGTCAGAAGAAATAAGTAATGCACAGGAAGAAGGTGACATTAGAGATAGTGTGGTGGTAATAGAAGATCAGATTTTGGTCCATGTTTTCCAGTATCAGCCTGAGAACCAGGTCAGCTTCTTGAGTCTTTCACAGGGTATTCCCTCAAAACCTTTCATCTCATCCACTTACACCCTTCTCTGATCTGTAGGAGAATGAAACCTTCAATAATTTTTTGTTTTAAATTAAAGAAGTGTGAAAAAAATTTTGCTCATGGGAATCCAGTTAGCTCCAGGGATTATTTTAGAACTCTTAAGGGACACATAATAAAAATGTGAGGCTGGCAATAGGTAGCAATGGTGAGGGAATTAGTAAGAATGG